GTATGTGCTACCTTCCTGTGATGTACAGCTGGGGACAAAAAAAGGAGAAGCAGTGGTAATCACAGATTGTCAGTGTAAGTGCCACCAGCAGGAAAGGCCACTGGGAGCTGACAGCAGGCTGGAAGGGAGCTTGGGGAGCATTTAATGCCAGAGCTGGGCCATCAGCTCAGAATCTACTTTTATTAATACGAGCTGCGGTATTTCTGACGTTGCATTTAAATAAATGGAGCAAACCAAAATGGCATTTAGACTGAAAGGACACAGCGGGAGAGCGTAAGCAGCTAATAAGGAGCAGTGTAGACGGGGCATTTGGTATGTGGTGGCAGTTGCACATCCTTCCTGGAAGGAGCTGTCTGCAGTGCTTTATTAGTTCTGTCTCTGAATTCGTTGGGGCTCTGTTCTTGTCCACTAACCCCAATTGTGCTCCAGGGTGTTCCTGCAGTTGTAGCTAAAGGATGACCTCTTGTATCCAGCACCTTTTGCATGGGTGGAGTGGAGAGCAGCTCTCCGTGAACCTTCAGCTTGTGCTTCTCCATGCTGCTTCCTCTCAACGCTCTTCTCTCTTTGACGCTGCCTAACTCTGACTCTGGCTGTTCATGGGGTTTTCCTTTGTGCTTGATCTAACCATGTGGTAGAACAATACAAATGGAACATGGTTCTGTCAAGCACCATGGAAGGCTGCATACTCCCTGCCGCATGGCATGCTGGGATACTTCCGCTGTTTTCAGAAGCATCAAAAGGTGAGAGATTCCCATTTTCTCACGGGAAAAATGAACAAAGGTGTTGCTTAACCAGACTCCTGGGCACTGCAGGGGGAACCTGTTTGCGACAGACCTTTCCGGAGGGCTTGCATGCAGAATAACCATTTCTAAGTAATTAATCTGTTTAATTGCTCTTAGAATGAAGAAGTTAGGCATCCTGTTTATTAATGTGATCCAAGGGTGATTCCAGCCATACCTACAGAGATGAAAAATCATTTTTGTTGTCTTGACTTACCAATAATGTAAGCTCCAATCCTCTGTTTGGGCTGTCCAGCAAGTCCTACTACTTGATCTACACTGTGGATGCCGTTTTGGTAAAAAGATACCTGTGACTTAACATAACTTTGGGCCTGATGTAGGCAATCTTAATGCGGTGGCATTTCATTATGAAGAAGTATCCTGCAAAAGAATTTTGAGAGTTTGCAAAGCATTATCTTTTATCTCTTGAGATGACATGGGTAACATGGCCTGTATGAACCCAGTATTATCCAACAGTTGCATAGCACAAAGCTGAGTCAGCACACCCAGATGGGCCATTTTAGCTTTGTCAGCTTAGATGAGATCTTCAACATGCTCCTGCCTAGCTTCCCCCCTGTGTGAAGCAGAGATAATTGCACCTGTTCAGAAGGGACTTGGCGTGCCGCGTGAAGAAGTTTTCTTATATGGAAATACTGCCTCATCTTGCAAATTCGTTACATATCTGTTGTGAAGCCATCAGGAGAAGGATATCTGAGATTCTTAAGATTTTCCCTGTAATTACTCATAAGAATTACGTGAAATTATGACAAACAATGTATCTCCTTCTTTTCCTGAAAACCTATGAAAATTGTGATCTACTGGTTACATGAAGAACTAAGTGTTGGGATTTTTAGACCAAGTGATCTTTGTGATCATATTTTTGGTGCTAAATTTGAGGCAGCTGGATCTATCTTTTCTGGAATGAATATATCAGATCAGTATTAAAGCTCCTGTTGAGACAGTTTGATTTTTTCCAGAACACATCATCCAACACTCCTTTTAAGTCCTTTAGTCAAAGCTAAGTTTTAAAAACTGAAATCAGGCTTGCTAAAAAATTATTAAAAAAGGAGAATAGGACAAAAAAGTCTCTCGCTTAATTTCTCCATGTGGGTATTAGAAAGGCACCTAAAATTTTTGAGCACTTGGCCATGTGGCGTTACTTTATCTCAGTACTGCTGTTGTGTAGAATGGCATGTGTGTTTGTTTTATGATACTGAGCACTTGCAATGCCCTGGTACCTGACAGTGGTGTCACATAGGTTGTGAAATGAAAATGTTATGAGAATAACTAGCAATTCAGATAAACACAGTTGCCCTCAGTTAAACACAGGCCCTGCTGTTGCCTAGATACATTTTACAGCAAACCTTTTCATTTTGGAAATTACTAGAAACTCCCAGGTCATGTTATACATTCAGCCAAGCTTCACAGAGTTCTCAGCTACAGTGCACACGTGCTTTCAGGTATAATAAAATGACCAAATGGTTAGTCTGGAATAGTAAAACGAAGCCAAGAGTTTCTTCGGTGTCTGTCCTGCCTCTCTTTCCATGGCTTTCCACAGGTGGTTTTATAGCGTGCAAGAAGTACCGCATGCATGTGGTGGTTAATTGGACTTGCTGAATCCTGTAACGTCGCTCAGAACCCTGCAGCAGTGCACTGATAAAGCCCCGTGTGTAGAAATGGATATACGCACTTAAGAGTTCTGCAAGCAGATGGCTGAATTTCACATTCCTATCCCAGATGGGAATATCTTAATAGAGCAGCCACCTGTCCAAGTGATCTCAAGGCTCAGGTCAAACAGTAAATTTTATCTAGTCTTTGGCAGGTGATTCCTGCTGTCTCACAGTGTAACGGATGACTGAGTACTTGCTGAGCATATACATGCTATTGATTGCTTACCTGGGTAACTCCTATTTAAACGTATTAAGAAGAAAAAAAAAAAAAAGAAAAGAAACAAACAAACAAAAAAAATTACCAAGGTGATGTTTGCTGCCTTCCTCTCCTGCTGAGCTGCGAGGGCTTTCCCCTGTTGCAAGTGTGGGGGCAGTGGACTGATGCCCAGGCAAGATCAACGTTTTACAGCTGATGCAGTGTGGAAAGTTGTATGCCATCAAGACCGTGAGACTGTTAAGTCAAAATGTGGTAAATATTCTTTATTTACTTTGCCAGAAAGCTTGAGAGAAAACCAAAACCTGATTTTCACCTCTAATGTTACATACCCCTTTTTTCTCCTTCATAAAGCATTCCACTTACTTTCCCATCCTTTTTTTATTTTCCCATAGGAAGATGAATCTTTTATCCATCACTAGACCAAACATTATACTTAATAAATTTTAAACCGGCGTAACTTGATGACGTTTGTGATTATTCTTTCCAAAAAAAATCTTTTACAATGAAAATTAGAAATGCTTCTTCAAGGTTTAATTTGGGGATTTCCAAGACATTTTCTGATCACTGAAAAATATTGTATGTTTTTCAGGGCATACTGTAATTGTAGCAGTTTTAATAAACTCTGGTCCTGACAACTGTTCATCTTTTGCATTATTTCCAAGGAATCATAAACAACCAAATGTACCGTTACTGTCTTAGAGGCCTAAGGAAGAATAGCTGTATGTTCTTGTAATCAAGCCATAACGCACTCATCACTTGACATTTTAGCCTGACTACCAAGCCTGGAATTTTTAGGACTGGAAATCAGATGGGGTTTTTTTTGAAAGGATGAAGAGTTTAAAGGATGGTGGTGTGGGGAAAGGTTTAGAATGTATTTTTATAAGACTTTAAAACGCCCAGTAGTCCTAATATTTTAAGTGCTGTGCTGTCAAGCTAAAAAACAGTAGCCAAGTCTCACTTTAGATGTATAATTTGCAATAAGCATGAAAACCTGCGAAGTATTTAGCATCACAGAAGTGGTAACGTACAGAGCTGCATGTGATGTTTCTCATAATCTAGTTCAGGATTACAAAACTCAACTGAAGTGCATCTGTGGAATCAAAATGTTAGATTACCTGCAGAATTGCTTGCTTTCACTGCATCGCCCTGTGGAGGTAACGTGCAACATAAATTAAAATAATTGTGGGTTCAGGTGCCTTCTTTTTTCTTACAGAAAATTGTATGCGGTCATAAAATGAGCAGTGCTGTGTTTATCAGTCTGGGAAGGGGAAGCAGGTGATGACTGTCATCAACCCTCTAAAAACAAATTTCAGCTCAGGTTTGAGTTTATATTGATGAGCTTGCTCAGATCATTCCTGAGAAAGCCCTGCAATTGACAGGGAAAAAAAAAAATCCAGAAAAGTTAAAAAATACCTCTTGGTAGTTATGATCATGGGGCGTTACACAAGGTTCCTGAGACCATTCTGGTGCTTCCATTATGAAATGTGAAGTGAGGGGGCAGGTATCGCGTGGCAGGGTCTTGGCAACACTTTGCTTACATACACATTTATTAATACTCCTGGTTCCTTGAAGCACGGAGATCAAGTTTCCAACCTGCTGTTATTAAAAGAGAAAAACCAAACCTGAAAAGGGCAGATTAGTTCACCGAGCCTAATTGGAAAAGCATTTCATTAGAACAGGTCAAAAACCTAGTCGAAGAGGTCTGGCAGTCATGGTGTAATGGTACATTAGGGAGTGCTTCTCACTAAGCATGGTCTACCCGCTCTTTGATTAAAATGAAAATGATTTAAACCGCTTTTACTTTGCTGTTTGTTTAACATAGTTAATAAAGATATCTAATTGTGGCAAAACTGACAAGGTTCTCTCCTAAAAGATTGCTCTCAAAAATAACTCCGTTAGTTGAAGTCTGAAAATTTTGGGCTTCTAATGATCCATTTAAAAATCCTCTGACATTTGGATGCACAAGGATAGCGCTTCCTGCTTTCATGAGATCTCTTTTCCTTGTTGCTGGCCTAAGTTCCAAATGGGAAAACGTAACTTTGCTGTAGCTCCTTTGAAGCAGACTCCAACGGCTAATTAGACGTGCTTCAAAAAATACCTTAACAGGTAGGCTTGTTAGACAAGGAATTAATCTATCAAGGGAAGAGTGAAAAAGCAGAGGCTAGTCTTGGGAGTAATTTGAAAAATTGCTGAACACAAATCTTTGGCGAGTATTAATGTGTGCAGGAGCTGGGAGCTGACAGGAGGCAGTGTTGAGAACAGATTCCATAAAATCTCTTGATTGCTGCAGTTATCAGGAGCTGTTTGCTGGAATATATTTTCCTTTTATTGCAGGGTCAGAGGATTACAGAAGTAAATTCACCGGGAAGTGTTTCATGGACCTTGTCTGTCCTGAGAAGTGTCGCTGCGAGGGAACAATCGTAGACTGCTCTAACCAAAAACTCACCCGATTACCCAGTCACCTTCCTGAGTATACTACTGATCTGTAAGTGCTGCCTCGCCACGATGTGCTCAGCAGGGCATGTTCGTTTTCCTAGTTTTTAAAGGCTGTAAAAGAGACTCTGACCAATTCAAGGCACCTTTAATCCCTGTGTGAAAAAGGGGAAGTTAATTTTATTTTAAGGCAGCACCACAACTCTTATTTCCTTAGCATTCATGCCAGCTGTGGGGATGAGAAAGGAGCCATGGCCCTGTGCATCAGCTGCCTGTGTGTGTCTTCTTGAAGTGCTGACCTACCTATTATGTGGCCCAAGCCGTCTGGTTCCTTTCCATTCTACCCTTGAGTCCTCTGTCATTGCATCTGGTCATTTTTATTTAAAAAATGGATTAGCTCTTTTGAAGGTAATAAGGAACTCATTCCATCTCAGCAGTGCCTGCTACTTGAGTGAAATGGCTCTCACTAAAACTAAGGTATTGTTAAGCTGTAAGTGATTTTATAAAATGGATTTGCTTTTAGAGAATCTTAGGAATTCTAAACAGAATATACTGCTGAAGAGAGTATGAGAAAACGTGTAATACCAAGTAACTTAAGAATCTTGTTCTTTTGTTATATTAGTAGCCCCTTTAAACACAATTCTCTTTTTGTGTTAATATCCTATTTATTATACTGCAGGTTTTCTTGTTAAATCCCCCATAAAAATTGTTGATCTGCAGTTAAGATAAAAAAAATGTGAGAGAGAGACATCCCAAAACACAGAAAAGTCTCTACATAGGAAAATGGAGCTACATGTAATCAGAGAAAGAATTTTACATTCCAAGCCTACCAAAACAGGAGCCTTTGCATTAATTTTGAAAACCAGCGGATCCCTTCTGTTTCCATGGACCACATCTCCAATTGCATGTCTTCTGTAGCAGAATGCATGAGGGAGGTTTAGTCATGCAGACAAGGGGTTTTAATGGGTAAGGTTAATAATCCCTTATCCTGTGCATTGGTAGAAGGTGGCATTCTGACACTGTCCTTTGGCATTTCACTCTTAAAGCCATCCAAAGCTTTTGGTACAATTGGTTTTCTATGTTCCCTTTCCTGCAAAGCTAAACTCTTTTCACTCTAGGAGTCTGAGAGAGATGACAGATACCGTCTCGCTTAACAAAGGTCATAGTTCTCTGTGTGGCAGCCCTGTGTGACACAGAGATATATCTACAGATATCTGTGAAGTATTAAATGTCTTTCTGTTTGTTCCTATCAGGCGTTTGAATGACAATGATATTTCTGTTTTGGAAGCTATCGGACTCTTCAAGAAATTGCCCAACCTCAGAAAAATGTAAGTTTGAGTCACTTGCTTTTTAGAATACATGTTGCTTGTATCATAAGGAAGGAGGAAGGGATGATTTTTAATATATTTTTCTGCTACTGCAGTAGCAGGAATTGGTTTTTTAATGTGAATTTAAGGAAACTGAATGAGTTGACTGTTAGATGGACAGGCCCAGTTATAGCACAGTGACAGGTTAAGTTCCCTAGACATTTCAGTATTCTTTAGGCTGTATTTCTTAAAGTCTGTGACTCGTGGAGACTGAAGGAAATTCTGTCCCAGTATTTATTCAGATGTATGCTTATTGTTAAAGGTGGCTTCAAAGTTTGGCACTTTGGTTTTTGTCTTTTGACTGTATTGCACAACTCCAACTATTGTGATTGTTTCAAATAGTCAAAGAAAAATATTACAAGGTATAAGTTACAAGGCAGCTTCTTTGGATCATTATTGTTTTAGAGAGGAGAATCAATTAGCTAATTTAGAGAGCAGTCATTCAAATATATCTGTATAATTCTATTTATAGTCTGAGTCCTGGCAATGTATCTGTTTAATAAGAGATGGATTTTGGAAAGAGGATAATATGTTAGACCTCCCTCGGTTGTCTTCTAAAGTGATCTTTCTGAAGTTATTTAAAGTTTTAAACCTATGACCCCATTGCTAATGTCTCATCTAACTGTTTACCTTCAGAAAAATTTTATTGCTAGTGTCAAGGTAATTTTGGGAAACGAACCAACGAGGCTTTCTGTGCTGTGTTCATTTCACGTGGTTTCTGCCATCTGGAGCTCCTGAGCCATTTGAAGCCATGTAAGATCTCAGGGGCTTTGGAGACCACTGTAGTGGGATTCTCATGACAGTTTTATTTCTGCAAGAGTTTCAGGCACTGCACTGCGGGGTTGGGAGTGGGGGTTGTATTTGTGCAAGTACAGGCCACCAGACTTGGGGAATTAATCATATACATTAGCCTCATATTTTATGAATGATCCCTAAATTGTAGCTACAGTGCACTTAGAAAAAGTTGTTGACATTGTTGAAGTGCTCTGTTGTCTACGTAAGGAGATAGTAAATGGGAATGAAAAATGCATGTTATATAAAAGTGTACACAAACAGGAAAGCATCTGTCCTCATCAAACCTTCAGGATAAATGCTTTGAAATTTGGAGAGGTGTGATAGCTGGAATAATTTCTTTCATTTTGTTTAAATCTTCCTGTGGGCAAGTTATGGTGCTGTCCTTCCTCTTCCCATCAATCACTCAGGTGGGAGGGATGCCTCGACAGGGCTCTATTGTTGGGCATAAATGCAGCACGAAACAGTTACCAGAGGTTTTTTTAAGAGATTTTTTTTCCTGTGAAACAAAAAAAAGTCTTTGCGCTCTCTTCTTGGCAGGCGATGAGAACGGACGTGTGCAGGTGTAGTTCAGAGGGGTAGCCAAAAGAAATAGTTGTGCCTTACACCTCATAAAAAGTGTGTCTCATATGGATTTTAGTGGCAGCCTCCAAGCAGAGGGTCTTCAGGTAATATTTATAGCTGAGCTAATTTCTTTTGTTCTACCTGATGCTGTAAAGAAGTATCTCAGTTAGAATAAAGGAATTTCCTGAAACGGGTGTTATTTCTTATAAGCAAAGCAATATTTCAACCATTACCTTACTTAGTAGCTTGTTCCTTAAAAAGCCAGATTAGACTTCTTTTATCTAATTCTTCTAGTTCCATTTTATGAAGGGATGGAGTTACCAGGAAAAAAAAAAAGGAGAAAAAAAAAAAAGAAGAAACCACAAGAAAACAACCCCCTCTTTCATTCTATGTTATTATCTGTCCTTTAATAAGCACTCTTCTGCTAATTAATAAGCCTCTTTCCGTCATGCAAGAAGGGAGGTTTAGGGAAATAGCAGTGCATGGGATTGCCGCTGCTAATGGTCCTCCTGCAGCAGCTCTGTGCGTGTGGCGGGGGTGTGATGCATGTGCTCTGCATCGAGTCTTACTGCGGCTGTTAAATCAAGGAGGAAGAATATTGATCAAACCCCGGTTTTCAGTGTGTGTACAGGACAAGAATTTTTACTGTTCTTTGATGGGCAATATTGACTCTGTCTCATCATATTCCTTGTCTGTTCAAGTGTTACAGGAAAACAGCAGGTGGAAGGGTCTGTCTGGAAATTGCTTCCTAGGCTTAAGAAAACAGTTCAGAGCTTTGCAGTGGCAGGCCATTTGCCTAAATCACCTTATTTTCTTTTTTTTTCCCTCTTTATTTAATATCTGTAATTCTCTTTATTCTGAAATTAATCTGAGTATCCGGAATCCAGATATCTGAATGGGCATTTGAATGATTACCCTCTGATTGTCATTCTTGTCAGTTTAATACTAGTGACAGATCCACAGATCCGTGTTAAGGAAGTTTGCAAAGAAACTGCTTTAGTTCCACTGTGGCTGGAAAAGCTCCAGCATAATTCCAGAGACAGAGGAATTGGCTCTTCTTCCTCTTGATGGGTGTTTCATCCTGGTGCCTCCTCACTTTGCAGTATGCTTTAGTGTAGCTTTGGTTTATAACATAAACGTGCTGAGGTGGTCTGTAAATTGGACCTTCAGGAGGATTTCGATTCTACTTGTGTTCTAGGTGTATGCTCATGTTTGTTCTTTTGTCTCTCAAGCTCTGTCAGTTGTCTGTGTCTGTCTGTCCCTTGTTGCATATCACAGTCTCGGGTTTTCTAGTAAGATTCCAAAGAGGAGTGCTCATAGATTTGGCACTGACATATTGCTCCAGTGTTTATATGTGAAAATAGTCTTCAGTTATATATTCACATAACAGTTCTCAGTTGGACTCTTGTCCCAGTGCCTTTCTAGTTTCCTCATCCCCTGATTCAGCACTGTTTCTATTCTTATCGTGTTTTGCCTCAGCGCATGGCCTGTCCCTCTTCTCTCCACTTCTCTCTAGTCACTAACAAAAATTGTGCTCTTCTCACTCAGGCGCCCTTCCTAGCCCTTACGCACAGTTACTCCACGGCATTGCCTGGAGCTGGTTTTATAGCCTTCACAGATCTCTCTGGGGCCCCCTCTCTATCCAGCCAAGGACATTACTTCTTAGTACTGCCAGGGACTGGTAGAGTAGATCTTTGGATAGAAAAATGTGCCCAGTCCCAAACTTTACACAGTCTATAGCTCTGTGTTGAGAGACATTGGAAAATGCCATCATCAGAAGAATCTGAAGTGAAAAAAACTCTGGAAAATTAGCTCCTAAAATTCAAAATTTAAAAAAAATACGTCTTGCAGTCTCCCTGGCGTGTAGCAGGATCTTAAATCTCTTTGTAAAGACCAAGTATTCTGGCAGATTTTCACAGGGAAGATACATCCTTTGAATAAAACATACACATTGTAGTTACCATTAACAAATTTGAAATCAGAATTTATTTTAATGCTTCAGGCTTTTCTCAAAAAGATTGTCAGAGCTTCCTGGAATAGGTGAACTTCCTTCTTGTTCTAAAAAAAAGAAAAATAAAACTAAGAAGTATCTACCGCTAAACATGAAAAGGACATCTGACAGTTTCTTCTGTTAAATCTTGCCAATGTGGTAAACATTAAAAAAGTGGTGTCAGACCACTTTTGGAATAGGTGGTGCTGCCAACCCCCACCTCTAATACATAATTAGCTTTCGGGATGTAATTTATCTGTAAATATTCCTCCTCAGCTGAGTCTTATTGTATGAATTGTCAGCCCAGGATTTAATACATTTTAATGCAAAGGAAAATTGAATTCTTGATACAGAAATTTAAAGGTCACAGATACATAATGCAAAGTTATGCTACATTTTTTTTAGGAAGTAAATTCCTAGGATTACCCTGCTGGTTTTTAAAAGGTTAACATGTCTGCAAATGCCTTTTTAAAAAAAAAAATAAAAACCAACTTCAATAATTAGCTGCATAATCCCATATACATAATACTATTTATATAACCTAAATTTTGATCCACTTTTATGGTTAATGCATTTTAAAGTAGAATAAAAAGGTTGATGCAGATTCATGTGGACAGATCTAACCTGGTCCAGAGGTAATTTGCTGCGTTCTGCAGTGGGTTTTGCAAGCGCCTGGAACTCTGCGTTGCTTTCATGGCATTCGCACCGTATCACCTCACCTGATCTTGCAAGTGTAAAGGTGTGACTTTTCTCTGAAAGCTAAAGTCACATTGCAGTGACTTTCAGGCTCCCAGAACTGTGTTTCTGGCATTTTGCAGGGTGGTTAGGAAAGAGGAATTTGACATTCAGAGGCAAGATTTTGCCTGTTGTGGAAGGGAGAGTTTCTTTGCTCACAACAACTACCAAATTCAGCATGAAGCAAACACTGGGGACCACGCAATGCCCTGGGACTACCTCCAGTTGTGAAAAATGCCTCCAGTGTTCAGGGACTCCCGTGGCAGTGGGAGGCTGGAGGGGTCTTCTGGCCATGGCAGGCAGGTTCAAGCTCCAAAAGCTTCTGGGTACGTAACTCAGTGGGAGCAAGGAGATACACTTGTTCACTGAAGTGGGATGCTGATGCAAAGGGAGAGGCCGCAGCTCCTAGAGCTCCAGAGCCTCCTCACTCCCCGGTGTCTACAGGAAATCAGTGGGACAGGCCATTCCCGCCTGGCAGCTGTTTCTGAAGAGGAGAAAAAAATGACAATGAGCTCATATTCAGAATAAAAAGGTGAACTGCCATACTTCATGCGCTGCTGGGGAGAAAGGGGACTGACCTCTTTTCTTGGAGAACAAGAACAATAAAAAACTATTTACCTCAAAACCTGAAAGTGACATTTGATAGTTCATTCCGTTAAATCTCGCCAAAGTTATAAAGTGGACATAAAATATGGTCTTAGAATAGGGAGTGTCAGGCTGCCTTAGCAATGGCTGGTACTGCCAACCCCACCTCTGGTATTTAATTGCTGTTGGAGGCTTAATTTGTCTGTAAATATTTCTCCTACGTTGAGTTGTATGGAGTGTCAGCCCAGGATTTAACACATTTTATGTGCAATATAACATTGAATCATGATAAAGTTTGCAGACTAGAAGTCAGTTTCAAAAAGAGAATCTCTAATTTCATGAGGAGGTAAAGGCAGTTTGTGTCCTTGGAAACAGCTGTTACCTGCTGTTCTTTCCCCTAACCATAAATCGTGCCATGGCAATTGAGGCTGCAGTCATCTGTCACTTGTTCTACAGAAACGGACTCTATTTTGTGGAAATGATGTTGTAGGGTGTTGTGGTACATGGCATTTGGCCTCATCATGTGCCTCCCTGTTTTTTCCCATGAGGCTGTCAGTCTGCTCTGCTGAAGGAATGCAGGAATGTCACTGGTTGTACTTCACAGTCTGCCTGGTATTTCAGACTCCCAGTGCTATCCTGCTCCTGAGAGCAACTCCCTCTATAAAAGCCAGCCAGACTATTGGTAGAAGCTGTAAAAGCACCTAAGCAAACACCTTTCCTCCAGAAGAATCCAATAGCATTGGGGTTTTCCTCCTGACACGCTTAAAATTCCAAACACATCACCAACAAATATTCCAGGGAAACCCCCACTCAGAACAGGCTGTTTGTGTGATAAAACTACAGTGTTCACGGACAGAGCAAGCAGAGCCTTTGCAGTTGGACCGTGCTCTGCGCCTTCGGTGGGAAGGTGTGTCGGTAACGCAGCGGGGCATAGCGTGCCGGAATGTTAAACTGACCCAGCAGGTACAGCAGGAGGAACGGTTGGGTTAGATCTGAATAGAATCCGGCTTGTTCTGCATTGGTTATAAGATCAACAGAAATAATAATATTATAAACTTTAGCCTTAAAGCAAATAAAATTTGACTGACAAGTGAGCTGTGTGAACAATGTCACCTTGATAGCTTCTTAGATCTGATCATTTCCTATTCACAGCCCCACATAAAGTAATCCCAGGCTTTCTGAACATTTCTTTTGACCTCTTTACCAAAACAAAAGTCTGGATATATGAATAAACTTTATCACGAGGGTAAAACATGGGGTGCTTACAGAAACAATAACCCTTCTTGAGTGACCCAGTTGACTACAGGTTTCCATTTGGGTCCTGCCAGGGGGCATAGGGATCTTGGGAAAGACTCAAGACTCATTTTCTTTTCCAGTGTCTTCCCGTGTTTCAAGAACAATTCCTTATAGAAGCTTAGTGTTGCAAGAGGGTTGGACTTCTCTACAATGCGAGTTTGCTGTAAAGTCTGTCAGTTTTTCCCTGATTGACAAAAATATTCCTTGTGAAGTGCTGTGGTCATATATGAAAGATTCTTTTAGTGCTGGGAAGGATGGAGTAGAGCTGATTTGCAGAGCAGGCAAAAGTCTCACTGCATTCATTTTTCAAGGTTCATATCAGCTGATTGTTTTTGCTGGTAATTCTAGACTGAAAAGCATGTAACTTCTCATGGTTTTTATTTTAGTAGGTCAGACTTTAAGGAGGATACCTTTTTTTTGAGTCAGTAAGTGCTGCCATCTACAATTTTTTGTTACATTCTGATATGGGAAGCTTTAATTCATGAAGACAATTAAAGAAATGCAGGTTGGCAGAACATCTGCTTTGACAATACTGCAGACAGGATTGCAGGGCAGTGTCTCCTTTTCCTATTTATTACTGGAAAGATTGTCTTTCCTTTGCCTTGCAACTTTGACTTCACCAATCTCGGATTTTCAAATCTTTTGCATGGAAAAGCTATACATAATTTCCTTCTTATGAAACTGCTAGCATGTTTAGAATAGGATGGTTTCGTATTGTTGAAATGATCAGGCATTATTAACTCAAATGAGTGAAGTTCCCTATCCACACAAGTTCTTTGGCAGCAATTAAAATTCAGCTGGTTTGGATTGTATTAAGGTGCAGATTCCTTGGCAAATTATGGCCAGCCTTTTTCACCGGTACTTGCTCTTTTTTGAGTATCTAATAATCCATAAAAATTGCACCCATTTAAAAATATATGTTGCTCAATATCTTTTAGGTGGTAAAAACTACCTACTAAAGGTCAGTTTGCAGTCTGTGTATTGAAAGTCATAGTCTTTGTGTATTATAGTAACTCACCCTCCCTTGCCACTACAAACATTTACTTATTTATTCATTTCTTTTCGTGCAAATATGCATCATGGCACGATCTCTACCAAGAAAGGAATCATTGGGAGCAATTATAAATGCCAGCATTCAAAAGAGATGCTGAGCTATAAACATTTCCATTAGAGAAATAGCTGAGCCCCCAAATTAGATGCATATGTCAGAATATCCTTCCTTGACTTGCTTTGACACTGAACATAAACTCTTCATGTGAGTGTCAGCACAAAGTACTAAACTTCTGGAAAGCAAAATCTGCATGTAAGTATTTCTATATGTTTTTATGTTATTTTTGGCTGATTGCTGGCATACTCCTATTCTTTCTGATCACAAGAGGTGATGGGCCACATGCTGTAGGGCCTGCTATCTGACAGTTGCTCAGCAGACATAAAGCAGTGTACTCAAGTTTCCCACATGAAACATATCTCCTGGAAGACTCAAGGGTTTTTTTTTGTTAAGTGATGACTTCTGCAAAGAGCAAGACCCACATTATTCCTGTCTGAGGCCAAGCTGTCCTGTTGCCATGTCTTCTGTCAATTTTTATCCCAACAAGATTGCCTGTTCTTCTGAGCAGAGTAGCCCAGGTGTTAATCTGATACCTTGTCATTTGTTTTATATCAACTGGGATTGGATTTTGAAACTATTACTCATGCTGCGTGTGTACTGGGATCGTTTCTGGAATAATGTGCTATTCCGTATGATTAATAGTGCTGGAATTTGGCATCTTCTTGGGAGCAAGAGCGTATCTTTTACTTTCTCCTTTTTGTTGTAGACAGTAAAACAAAGAAGAGTGTTTCCTGTCATAAAATTAAACATAGGGTGATTCATCAGAATCTATATAGGGACATCGTAGGAAATGCTTGAAGGACCGAGGCCCAAGGTTTCAATCTGCTTAAGGCTTTTTATATCAATGTTATAAATAATTAAATGCCATTTATTTTTATGCATCTCTAATGGCGTTTTGTCATTCAGGAGTTTTCATGGGTTTTTCATAAATATGAAATATTCAAAAGATTAATTTTGCATGTCATCAGAACTTCATTTGACTTGGTAGATTGAAGTTTTCCAATGTTGATCTATAAGCAAACATCTTGAGACTGTATAGGCAGAGTAAATATTTAGAAAATAATGCTGTATATTGCAGTAGCTGTGAATTGAGAATTATGATAGTCATTTCATTTTGCATGATGGTGTTAAACTTAAATGCCTGGGAGTCCATGAGTGCACACATTAAAATTTGTATCAGATGCATGGAGCCACACCATTTTGTACGTTACTCCAGTGCTGAGTTTAAAAGGAGTAGAGGTCCTGGTACACTAAATAAGTGTGGTCCACATTTCAGTGGGCAGCACTTATTTTAGTGGTAGTAATATTAACTGATCCTTGCCAGATAAGCACCCAGTCCCAAGCACAGTCCTTCATTTCATGGACATAGATATTAGAAACCCTCACTTACTGGATCCCTGAGATCCTTATAAGGAAGACAGAGATGAGATGTAAGAGGGTAATTCTATTAATTTAAATACTTGTCATATATCTGATAGAATTGTGGGTTTGATGAGTGAAGGGGAGCTATTTGTAAGTACAGTGGGTGTACTTTTGAACTTCGGTATGCTCTCCTTGTCTCTCTAGATAACCAGCAAAAGGCACATACTCTTCCTATCTTCTTCCTTCCAGTGTGATGATGTATGTTTGAAACAAAACAGTAATAATTTTCTTACTGTGACTGGTTGTGTTCTTCCAGAAATCTAAGTAACAATAAGATCAAGGAGATCCGAGAAGGCACATTTGACGGAGCTTCAGGAGTGCAGGAACTGATTCTGACGGAGAATCAGCTGGAATCAGTGCACGGACGAATGTTTAGAGGCCTCACAGGGCTGAAGACATTGTAAGTACAAAGACCTGTCTGTCTCTGGTTCTCTGTAAGTTGAGTGGGAGTGCTTAAGCCCAGCAACACCTGCTAAAACACATGACTAGACAACAAGCTCTAAGGCAGGGTCTTGTATCACCGTCATGAAGTCTTCAGTGTATTTCTAGTCCCGGGTGGGTTTGAGAATTATCCGCTGTTTCTGTGAAAAAACAGATTTTCAAGGATTTCAGGAGTAGCACAATGGTGAACCTGTCATGGTTCATGTTTGGGTACTTTTGATCATGTAACTCTTTTATTATTTTGTTATTTCCTATGGCTACATGGCATGTAGGAACATGTCTGCTGTTGATTAGTCCATCCTCCCACTCTTCCTTCACCCGAATTAGAATTGTTGGTCTTCTTAGACAAAACCTCAGAGTAGGCTAGGAGCCTGAAAGATTTTTAATATCCTACAAACTATATGAAATCAGTAGGTAGGGAGGGAAGAAAGACTCCAACTATTGCTACCACCAGAACAGGTATAGCTAAGCAACTCTGGGGCAGGCATAGAATCATAGAATGGTTTGGGTTGGAAGGGACTTCAAACTATTTCAGGTCCTGCTGACAGAAGGTAACGTGAGTCCTGGCCACTCACTCTGCACCAGGTGTAGTAGCCCACGAGCACTGGCATGGCTTTGGACTAGCCACCGCATGCTCTTCCTTGCCCACACCAAGTACCATAAAAATCACGTGTGGGTATGTTATTAATATGGTTGTGGTTGAGGAGAGAGGGAAGGAGACACAGAGCACAGATGCAGAAGAAATCACTTTGGTATTACTTTTGTGCTCAGACAACTGTTGTAATTTATTTCTGAGAACTAACAATATACATAAATCCATAGTATCTAGCACTGATTTATTTTCATGTTAAAAGTTATATTGGAAGAAGGATCACACACAAGATCTCATGATGGTCTCTAACCCACCCCATCCACCGTCATGAGAAGCAGGCAGGGACTAGGCTTCTAGTGACAGCAAAGACTCATGGCAGACTATGTCTATGATCTGTACATGAAAAATAGCTCTCATGCATTCTCTTCCCTGCTGTAGACAGCAAGCACCTGACTAGGTGGAGGCTGTCAGTAAATAGACTCCAGGAATCAAAATGCAATTTATTCATTAGTAGCAAATACTTCTTCTGGTGCAGAGTATCATGGCAGAATTACTATAGTCCTTACTCAAGTGTAAAAAATAAATCCAAGTTTCACTTCAAGGACTTTGACCTGTAATAACAAAGAGGGAACTTTAATTTTGCTGTTCCTTTAACATTATTTTTCTGTGGTTATAGCCATCTGTTCTTTAATTTAAAAGATGCACTTTACTAAGGGATTTGAAAATACTGTCCATAGATATAAAATTAATTTTTATACTGTAAAGCAGCCTGTGGCAGTGCTCCTAAACAAAATTCAGCATTTTTTAATAAAAAGATGCTTAACATTCAAGCTATCCTGCTGACCTGACCTACATTTCCCCCTGGCTGATAAAGCAGTCTAAATATACACAGCATGATATGAGGATCTGAAAGTATAAGTTTTCCTTCAGAAAGGGCACACAGTGCTGAACCATGATATGAAACCAAAGGGTTTGGCTCGAGGGACATATCTTTCTATCCATTAATTGACTTTCATTGAGCATTAAGATTTTGGTCTTTTACAGAGAGGCCACTCTGGACAGGGTGATGGTCCAATTTTTAAAGGACTGAAACTTTCCAGAAATGTAGTAAGTCACTGTGCAAGATGCACTGGCATCCAAATTCAGTGATTCCATCTTGTGGTACTGCTACCTGATACTTTACATATGGAACTGAGGAAATGTTTCCTACTCATACTAAGCCACGAAGGCCTTTACTTCTCTTATTTGCAGCCCTATTCACCTTAGAGCTTGTGGTCCTGACTTGGCTTTCAGGCAGCTTAGTACTCCACGTGTAAGGTGTGTGTCTCTGTGCCCTGTGACTATTTTCTGACATAGTTTCACCCTGGTTGCAATACCAAAACTATTGAGACCATAATGGCTGTGACGGTAACAGTACGTAGAGAACAGTAATCCTAAAGCAGTGTAATGTCCAGGTCTGAAATGCTGAGTGTTTGTAATTACACTGTGAATTTCTTCCCAGCCATATCTGAGCTCTCTGTGGTGTTTTTTAAGTATCTATTGATGTAATATCTAAATGCCCAGCTGACCAATCTGAGATTTAAATCCAGACTTCTGAGGGAGTCTGAATTGTCATTGTTCGCTGTGTGAATTTGATACCAAAGAATTCACCCTGCTCAATTTGGAGGATCAATTCACTGGAACAGCAGCATGAGCTGCATATGTTTTGTGGATTTTTAGTATTATGCTTTAATTACTGAATAATTTTTCACCTAAGTAGGATTGTCACAACTGTGCAGTGATGTTTACAGACCCAGATGTTGATTGGCATGCAGCATAACATACACATGAGCCTTTTTTGCTGTAGAGTGAAACAAGATACTACAGTCTTTCAGATTAATTAGGTTTTATCATCGAGTTCATTGTTGCCATAACGACTCAGAGAGATGTATCTACCAAAACACAGCACTGATTCATCTGGTACAAGCACTGAGCAAAGACCATTTTGTAGGATGGTTATTGCTTTTTCTCTTGTCAATTAATGTTTATAATGACATTTCAGAGCTTGTGTTAGGTCTGGAAATCTTTCCTAAGCTATTCCTTGATTTCTGCTGATGCTGTTTCCTTCCTTACTTTAGCAGTGTGGATTACAAAAAACATCCATGATAGGAGTAGGGGTAATGCAGCTAGTACTGTTATTGTCACGCACTTCTGTCAGTCTTTCTCAATTGATCTCTGAAATACATCTTCACATACTCTCAGATATTTACTAAATTAAGACTTCAGTGTTTATTTAAGGTTTGCCACTAGTCGTAGTTTTAATTGCATGCTACTTTCAGCTGTGGAGTTCCCATCAGCCCTCAATGTTGTGGAAGAAAGGCGTTTTAAATTCATGAGACAATGCTTACATGAATCTAGCCCTCCTTTAGCTCTACTGTACTTCAGCAGTCAATAAAAATAGAGTACCGTGCCTGCCGAAGAATGTGTTGATGCCCTAGATAAAGGAACTCCTATCCTGAATTGTACCCTCTCCCAGTAGTTCCTAATTCCCTGTTTTAATCCTTGCAGGATGCTGAGGAGCAACTCTATCAGCTGTATAAACAACGACACCTTTGCTGGACTGAGCTCAGTGAGACTTCTTTCTCTCTATGACAATCACATCAGCACGATCACCCCTGGAGCCTTCAGCACATTAGTCTCTTTGTCTACAATGTAAGTTACCTATTTATGGTACAAACACGTCGTGATGCGATTATTCCCTGCTTTCCTTTGAAGAAGACCACGGTTGAGTTTCAAAATCAAACTACTTGTTGTTCTTATAGGGAAAACTTCATTTAGGGAAAG